AAAATGCACATTTTTCCCTTTCTCCTGACACAGAGGTGTCTGCCCAGAAAGTGCTAGGCACGTAACAGAAGCAAACAGGACACGGGAATAAAGTGGGAAGAAACAAAGACACTGCAGCTACATTATAGGGACGAGAATTGGTTTGCTCTGGTGATACTGATGCGGCTGGAAAGACAGCTGAAGCTGTGAACAGTTTCCACAGATTTTCCTTACTTCTGGCTGAACTTCACCACCTACATGCACTGAGACACACCAATACATTCCACAGTTCACCAACAGATCCCCAATTCCTGCATGTTTAAATACAGCACATCAAGGATCTCTCTTGCCCCGATTCTGTTTCAGTCATGGGCTGTCCATACTAAAAAACAGTTTACTTGATATACACAGGGGGAAGCTATAGCCAAAAACAGGCCCAGGGTCTGCTTGCTAAAAATTAATACACTAAGAGAAGCATTTTCTAGAATGGATAAATGAGAAACTTTTGGACAAATCATTTCTATATTGTCAGATTAGACTAAAAAGAACCAGATGGCCACTCATTTTGTAGAAGTTGGCCATGCAGCCAACACATCGTTTTCTCCAACTGGGAACCATTGATCCAGGGCAAAACTGAACAAGAGCTCTGGGGAACACCCACAATCAAATGATAAATAATGAGGGAAAATGCTTTAAATTCAAACTTTGATCCTTCCCAGGAAGAGATGATAGGGATGGGCCTGCTTATAAAATGAAGTTTTTAGGCAAGCAATTCTCCCCACATCCACTTCTTCCTTTGCTTCCTCAAAGTACCTTCAAATTTTCAGCTACCATGAGATGGAAAAAGATTTTTTTTTAAGACATGCAGTAACTGAGAGATGGTCAACTGGAGGCAGATGGGGGAATCATGGGAGCATAGGTTGGCTGTGGATTCCTACTAGAAGACCCAGGAAGAAGCTCAACGGACTTCTGTTAAATTCTGAGCACTCTGTTACCCAGTTTTGTATTTGAATATCTGCACCTAAGACAGCTACGGAGAGAAGGTGCTTAATAAATATTCAGTGACTCAATGAATAAATTATAAAAGGCTATAAACTTTGGAAATAAAACATACTGGATAACACAGATGCTTAATAATGGCCTGCACTATTATAGATGCCCCCCTAGCCCAGACTGACTCATTTTCAGTCTTATGCAAATGGTTCCGTTTTAGGATTTTGGAGATTTGGTACATTAGTTTATTGGAACTGCTATAACAAATTAACACAAACTTTGTGGCTTAAAACAACAGAACTTTTTTCCCTCCCAGTTCTGAAAGTCAGAAGTCTGGAGTCAGAATCACTAGGCCGAAATCAAGATGTCTGCCTGGCAGCCCTCCCTTCAGAGGCCCTGGGGGAGAACAGATTCCCCGCCTCTCCAGGCTTCTCAGGGCTGCCAGCATTCCTCGGCTGTGGACTCATCACTCCAATCTTCCAGGCCACATCTTCAAATCCCTTTCTGTTCTGTCTTTGCATTGCCTTCTTTGTGTGGGCAAAATCTCCCTCTGCCTCCCTTTTAAAAGAACATAGGTGATTGCACTTAGATAATCCAAGGATGTGGATGAAAGGTAGAGGAAACAAGATAATCCAGGAATATCGATCTAAAAATCCATAACTTGGGAGCCTGGGTGGCTCAGTCAGTTAAGCGTCTGCCTTCGGCTCAGGTCATGATCCCAGGGTCCTGGGATCGAGTCCCGCATGGGACTCCCTGCTCCGTGGGAAGCCTGCTTCTCCCTCTCCCACTCCCCCTGCTTGTGTTCCCTCTCTCACTGTGTCTCTGTCAAATAAATAAATAAAATCTTTAAAAAATAAAAACAATCAAAATCAAAATCCTTAACTTAATCTCATCTGCAAAGACCCTATCTTCAAATAAGTGAACATTTACAGGTTCCAGGGAGTGGGACCTGGTATCTTTGGAGGCCATTAGTTTGCCTGTCACACCAGGAAAACTCAGTATTACCAAAAGAACAGAGCAGGCAGCAGTGAATGCAAGAAGCCTCAGATTGTCTCTATCACTATGAGGATACTTGCTGCAACAGACTTCTGTTAAACATCTGTGTTATTTTGGTGTAATGCCCGCAGTTACATATATGATATTATTGACAATGCACAGTACCCCAATGCCCGCAGTTACATACATGATATTATTGACAATGCACAGTACCCCAACCTTAGATTTTAATTTAAATTAAATTTAATTTGTGGCGGCCCAATAGCCATCAGAACGGAACTATCTTGGGGGATGTCTGCATTACCCATGTTGACAGGGTCGAAGCCTCCTTTCTCCTTATCACATGGCCTTAGCTCTATCAACCACTCTTCCTTGTTGTCAAACCCAATCTGTGTGAGGAAACCCATGAGGGAATTAGCCTACATGGGTAGGGCTGGTTTGGGTAACAGGGAAATTGATGCGTCAGGCTGGGTATTGGCAGGAAAGGTGGAATTGGAGCCTTGGGTTTATTACCCATTTCCTTTACTACTCTGATGCTCTGAGCACGGTTCTTGGGTCCCTGGAACACTACCTGAAGTGGGGCTGGCCCTACACATGCTTTATTCCTGCTTTCCTGCCCACACATCAAATCTCAAGTCTGCTAGAAAACCAGCCTACAGGCTCCTCCTGAGGCAGCCTAGAGGTTCCACCTCTAGAAGGATGAGTTAAACTCACATATGGAAACATACAGATTACTGTTTGAGCAGTTTTGAAGCCACGATAATGCTTTCAACACATTTGAAAATTGTCATTTCTTACTTGTTCTCTAGTAATATCAATACATTCCATAACCTTATTAGAATGCAGAGCTGGGACTAGGGTAAAGCAAGTGAGGCACACTCCCTTTGGGTACAAAATTTGGGGAATCAAAAATCTCAGGAATCAAACATTTTTTTTTAAAGATTTTTATTTATTTTCTGACAGAGAGGAAAAAACAGTGAGAAAGGGAACACAAGCAGGGGGAGCGGGAGAGGGAAAAGCAGGCCCCCCGCCAAGCAGGGAGCCCGATGCGGGGCTCGATCCCAGGACCCTGGGATCATGACCTGAGCCGAAGGCAGATGCTTAACGACTGAGCCACCCAGGTGTCCCCAAATCTGATGTTTAAATATGAACAAGTAGAGGGGCGCCTGGGTGGCTCAGTCAGTTACGTATTTGACTTTGGCTCGGGTCATGATCTCAGGGTCCTGGGGATAAGCCCTGCGTAGTTGGGCTCCCTGCTCAGTGGGGAGTCTGTTTGTCCCTCTCCTTCTGCCCTCCCCCCTGCACAGCTCATGCATGTGCACAGGCTGTGTCTCCCTCGCTCTCTCAAATAAATGCATAAAATCTTTTTAAAAAAATACAGGGCGCCCGGGTGGCTCAGTTGGTTAAGTGACTGCCTTCGGCTCAGGTCATGATCCTGGAGTCCCGGGATCGAGTCCCACATCGGGCTCCCTGCTCAGCGGGGAGTCTGCTTCTCCCTCTGACCCTCCCCCCTCTCATGTGCTCTCTCTCTCTCATTCTCTCTCAGTTAAATAAAATCTTTAAAAAAATAAAAAAAGATATAAAAAGTATACATAATATGTAAATTATGTAAAAATGGAAGTGTCCATTATATAGAATTATGTTGTATATTTTCTTAACAATTGTTTTATTGGAGCCGAAAACGATGTTTGAAAACAAGAATTGTTTTTAAAAATTAAAACTAGCAAAACATTTAACCTACCAACAAAATAAAACCTATCAACCTTACTTTTCTTTAGTAGGTCTCTGTGGTAGACAAAATAATGCCCCCCAAAAGATGCCCATGTCCTAATCTCCAGAACCTGGGAATAGGTCACCTTCCATGGCAGCAGGGACTCTGCAGATGTGATGAAGTGAAGGACCCTGGGATGGGGTGATTCTCCTGGCTTATCTCGGTGGGCTCAATGTAACCACAGGGTCCGTAAAAGCGGAAGAGGTGGGCAGAAATCAGAGGGAGATGAGATTACAGAAGAAAGACACAGAGAGATGCAGCATTGCTGGCCTTGGAGGCAGAAGAAGGGGCCATGTGCCACGGAATGTGGATAGCATCCAAAAGCTAAAAAGGACAAGGAAACAGATTCTTCCCTAGAGTCTCCTGGAAGGAATGCAGCCTTGCCAATGGTTTGAATTAGCCCAGTGACACCACGTCCAACATTTGGACTTCTGAACTACAGAAATTGTAAGAAAATAAAGTTATGATGTCTAAACCACTAAGTTTGTGGTCATTTGTGACACAGCAAATAGAGAACTAAGACAGTCACAAAGGCTATCCAGTCAGTGTTGGCATGCTTTAGTGCACAATAAAATAAGCAGCCAGGTCACCAGGGAGGGGACTAACAACAACTCTGGCTTCGCTAAGCTCCCCCGTGCAGCTTCTGGCTACTGAAATGCCACAGAGTAAGAGAATTATCATTAACAACAGTCCCTACCTCTGAAGATTTAGATCTAACAGGTCTGGGACACAAGAAGATCCATGTTTAACTAGTGACTCTATTAGAAATTGATGGTCCCAGGGTCCTGGGGTCGAGTCCCATGTGGGGCTCCCTGCTCAGCGGGAAGCCTGCTTCTCCGTCTCCCACTCCCCCTGCTTGTGTTCCCTCTCTCGCTGTCAAATAAATAAATAAAACCTTTAAGAAAAAAAAAAAAGAAATTGATGGTGGTTCATGCTCTGAGAGACATTCATTCCTGCCTGTAAGGAGCTTATAATTTAGGTGCCGAGTAAACATAATTCCAATACCTAATAGATAAATAAATATGCATACTTCCAAAGACAGGTCAACAGCCAGGGACAAGTATAGAAGGCTAAAAATGGCCCAGAGCACATAAATCCTTCCACAGGCTTTGATAACAAAGCCTAGTTGTAGAAGTAAGCCAGAAGAGATCTCTGCCAGCAATCCTGTGTGGCCGGTGCCTGAGGGCTCTGGTAAAGCAGATTCCCAGCAGTCCTCACACACCTCTTCATGGCAAAGCTCGCCTGGTGAGCATGGACCTACCTGTCTCACCTGTTTCCTTCTGAGATGGTGATGTGCTGGCCCAGGGGCTGTCGTCTTCAAACTGAACCCAGTTGCTGATGGCGAAGGCCAGGTCAGGTGGGGGCTGCTCAGGGCTCCCAGGAGGGGAGGTCGCTTCAGAGATGAGGCCCAGCTTTTCAGAGGAGTCATCCTGCTCCGAGTGGGAAAGCTCCTGAGAGCCTCTTTCCGCCACGTGGTTCTCTCCGGAGGAGCTCTCAGACTGGTCTGAGTAAGACGAGAGTGCTGGGAGGTGCTCTTCGGTGCCCCCTGAAACACATACCAGACACCACCATTAATCACGTGAGGAAGGCCACCCTTCAAAACTCTCACGGAGGAAAATCCCAAGGATATGTAAGGGGTGATCACAAGACTCACCATTCTGGTGGGTGCAGGTGAAGAAACAGCCATGCCCAACTGCCTCTATGCTAAAGGAGTGTTTTCCTAATGTGACGAAGGATAACCTCAGCATGCCCACATTCAGTATCCAGGCGGGCTGAGAATGGAAATCTTATTCACTGTTCTTATCCTAGCATCTACTCCAGGCCTCAGCAGTCACAAACAACAATGCTTATAGAAACCAAACAGAAATATAACTGAGTCGAACAAGAAAAGCAAAAGGCAACAGGGACTGACGGAGACTTTGATTGAACCGGAGAGCTTCTGTCTGGACTAAACACATTCAAATTCACACTTCAAACTCCGTGCAGTCCAAACTACACGTGTCTGCAGACTGCCAGGTGCAAACTCTGTACCAACAATCAGCTGAATGAGGCCGAGCTATATGAGGCCCCTAACTTTCTAGCACTTTATTGGTCCTAAAACACATAACAGCCTTCAAAAAGTATTTTTTTTTAAAGAACTATATCCTAATAGTGGTGGTGGTTACACAAATCTATACATCTGTTGAAGTTTCTCAACTGCATACCAAAAGTGGTCAATTTTACTGTACGAAAACTTTTTAAAAATCAAAGTACTAATATAAAATTTTTTCTGCCATCATTAGCCACACAACCTAGTCTACCTGCATGTAACCAAACCCTTTAGACTAGCGCTGCCTAAAGAAATAAAAGCTGAACCACATAAGTAATTTTAATTTTTTTAGTAGACACATTTAAAAAAAAGTAAAAAGAGCTGAACTACTTTTACTAATATAAATTTCAACTCCCTATGTTGAAAATTTACAATTCTAACATGTAATTAATATAAAAGTTATTAATGAAATATCTTACTTTCACTAGGTCTTTGAAATTCAGTGTGGGTATTTTATACTTAAGACACATTTCAATTCCGACTAGCTGCATTTCAAGGACTCAACAGCCCCATGGCCACCATCCTGGACGTCTCTCCCGTCAACTCACACTTTCCAGGTGCTGTCAATGAAGCTGGACTGACAGCAGTTGGCAGTGGTAGCTGCAGTAGGACAGAACCAGCCGACAAGGCTCTGCAAATATCTCCCGTCCCCTACCTTGACCTTCATCCCTGAGCACCAGCTCCCTAGAAGTCAATTTAGCCATTGTCATCGTGATCGTGGATGACAATTAACTGAGCTCTTCCTACATGCCAGGCACTGTTCTAAGCACTTTACATATATTAATTCATTTAATCCTCACAGCCCCCCTGAGGAAGGTACTGTGATTACCCCTACTGCACAGATAAATGACTACACAGAGAGGTTAGAGAGACTGTCTACCCAAGGGCATGTCCCTTAGCTGTGACAGAGCCAGGATCTGAGCCCAAGCAATCTGTCTCTAGAGCCTCTCACTCTTCACAGCTATGCTTTAAAAGCCGAGGAAATCCAAACTGCTGTTGGGAGTAACACCCTAAAAGGCCGAGTATAAAGTAGTTTGTAAATATGAAGCTTACGCTCCTTAGAAGAAAGCACCCAACACTTTTGGTGTTTCCAGGCCCTTTTGTTTGGGACTGGAAGTTTCCTAAAAATGCTTCCCCCAGGCTCCTAAGTGGAAGAATCTGCACCTTAGGAAAGTGACAAACCGGCTCTTTTTCACATATTAAGATCCCACCCGAAGAATGATCAAGTAGAAGTCATTATAAACAGTTGTGGTTCTTTGCTGATCTTTTCACTTAAGAAATGAGAGTGCTCCTTACCCTCGGAAGGGACAGGAAACAGTGACTCCTCATTGAAGGAGACCCACTCTGACTGGTGGGTGGCAATCACATGGTCCAAGGTCGTCATGCTAGGAAGGCACTGATCATCTTCACACTGATGGCCTCAAACAGACCCCAGAGTAATGTCTGGGGTGGGGGTATGGTAGCACAGTGGACTTGGGCCTTGGCTCTGTTGTGAGGATCTTGTAGAGGGCGGCACTCAGAACGCAGAGAGATTGGCCCCTCTTGCCTTTGGCTAATCTGCCAAGCAGAAATCTGTTTAAAAAAATAATAAAAATTAAAAAGGACAACTATCACATTATATCCAACCCACACAGGTCCAGGGTTTTCAACACTGCCCACGAAGAGGTCTGGGTGGTTTCCAACTTGTATTACTTCTCTCTGCCCTGTCTTGTCCCCACGTCTTGTACAGAAATATCTGCCTTTAGCATCAAGATCTCTGTATAGGCCTTCATATCAGACTTGTAAATAATCATGCAAATTTTAGCAATCAGATCCTAAATTTCTCCACTTATTATATTTTGGAAATACTTTTATTTATAATACAATGCCATTGTTGTAAAACAAAAATTAAAACTTTTCAAAGTATTTTCACTTTCTTTTACTAGATGGTAAAATAAAAGCACGTTCTTTCCTATTAAATCATAGCACTTTCTTGCCTTAGGCAGGTAGCTCTTTGCAAGCCTGATTTAAATCCTTGGCAGAAACCCAACCACCTCCAGATGGTACCTCCAAGCATGGTTTACCAATCAAGAGAAATAGAAATGGAGTCATCTTGTTCATTTGGAGTAAATGGGAAGGGAATATTTGCTTTAGTAAAAAATGTGAGTTAAAGAAACATATTTTCAATTTAGGCCACTTTGAATTAGTACATAAAAGTCTAGCCTTTACTCACATCACAATTATGTTCTATGTATACAGAAAGATACTTAATAGACTCGTAATTCTGTTTGTACTATTAATGTCCATTTACAATTTGAACCTAGCTCTTGCTCTTATGATAAATTAATAAAATCTGAATTAATGCAAAATTAATGTGTTTCCACAAAAGAGCTACTATTTGCCCTGAACAATATCAGTTCTTATTAATGGAATACTTACAATATTCATTTTAGTCTGGAAAAATTTAACTCATAGCCTTCTGACGGGTGCATAATAAAAAAATGTTGAGGAAATTGTAGTACAGATTATTACCTGCTATAAATAATCTATGCTGGGGTTAATCAGAACAGAAATATGTAATAGTTTTTGTCTTTTTTGGTAGCTAAAACAGTTTTGCTGTACAATACTGCCTAAAAATAACTGCTCGCATACATTTATAATTTTCAGAAACATTTTTAATATATTTTTGAAATATTTTATTTATTTATTTGAGAGACAGAGGGAGAGGGAGAAAGAATCTGAAGACTCTGCACTGAGCACAGCCCAATGCGGGGCTTGACCCCACAACTGTGAGATCACGACCTGAGCCAAATGATACTTCATTTGATTCTATAGCCATTTTAGTTGAGTAAGGCAGATATAACTATAATTCCTTTACAGATGAAGAAATTTGGGGTGGGAGGAGTGGCTTATCCAACATTTTCATTGTTTCCAGGCCCTTGTTTGGTGCCCTAAGATGTTTCCCCCAGGCTTCTAACTGGAAGAATTCACACATCCCAGAACAGTGACAAATGGACTCTTTTTTCTCCATGATATCCACAGAATGATCAACTAGAGCTATAATAAGCAGGTGTGTTAGATGCACCAAGCTAGGAAGTGATCAATACAACCCTGAAACCTAGGTCTTCTGGTGCCAAAACACTCTGATCTTTGGATTACAGCCACCAAAAAAAAAAAAAGTACCAGAATATATGCAAAAATCACCCAACTAAAGTACTTTACAAACATCAATTACAACAGAACCATAATGAAATGATCTGTGAAAACTCCCCATGTGGAAATCTGCCAGGATACCCCAGCTGTGCACAGAATGAAAAGCCTGGAAATCTCTCTTCCGAGTCCCTCTCCAAAGATTCTTACCAACCATGGGACCAGACGTGTGCAAACAGCCTGGAGAGTACAGAGCTCCAAAACCAGATCTCACCAGAGAACCACGCAGAGCCCAAAAACCCTAGAGCTGCCTCTGGCGAGCTTGTCCCTAAAAGCTGTCCTCAAGCCCTATCAAACATGAGTGTCGCTCAGTGTGTTTGTGGCTGCAGGGCAAGATAAGACAGCAAAAGAGAAGAGTCAAGACTCCTCCTCTCCCTCCAACAGCAGCATGTAAGCCAGGTCCAACAACAACAAAGAAGCCACAATACAAGTCCATGTGCTGACACATGCAGCATCATAGCTCAATGGGGAAAACATCCTCCCGACCCCGTGATGATGAATCCAGCAAAATTCACAGATGAGTGTGTGTGGGGGGGGGAGGTGGGGGAGAGGGGACAAGGGAAGAGGAGAAGGGAAAGGGTGAGGGCAATGGGACAAATACCAAGAAATTTTTGAGCTCAAACGTTTTAAAGACCAACAGTCTAACTCTCAAGTTCACAGATGAGTAAACTGAGGCCTAAGGAAATCAAATGTAGCAACAGAGAATGAGAGCATGGGCCTGGGATTTGAATCCTGTACAGCCTGTAAGCCTCATTTCACCCCTGTACAGCAGGAATAACAAGTCTCACTTCATAATTTCAAGGCTTAAGAGAGATAATACACACGGAGTGCTTAGTAGTGGGAGTAATGAACCCTCTGTATCAATGATGATGGTAACAGTAGGTGACTGCACAGAGGGCTTACTACGTGCCGGGCTCCAGTCCAAACTCCTTATGAATGTCAGCTATAGCCATCACTGCTGTTGTTGAATTACTTGCCAGAAGTCACACAGCTCATTAGTGAAGTCTTGGGACTAGAATGCAAATTTCATGGAAACCTCTCCCCGCCGTTTCTGTCATTTCCACATCTGGCATTAGGGATTTCTCTTTTCAATTGTTTTTAGACCAGTTCTCCCAGATGTTACTTGGAGTCAAGCACTCAACCTCCTCTTTACAGATACAGGCACGGTCTGGCTAAGGAACCAGGACTACGACTCAGAAAGTATGAGTGAAAGAGAAGCCCCAAAGGTTTATCTACACTTCCTTAGCTTGTCCATCCCAGATCCAGACATGGGCTGGTTACGGATAATAAGCAGCCCCAAGAAAGCTTGGTAGAACAAGTTTATTACAGGTAACCACCTATCATAATCCTGTGAAATGGATTCTGGGTATTTGCCATGAAACAGCCACACCCAATGAGCCATGAGATGTGGCTGTACCAGCAGCTAAAACCACAGAGGAACCCAGTAATTGTGAGGCTAAGTTCACACTGGAATTTGGGTTCTCTATGAAAACCTCACCCCATTTTTAGAATGTGAATCATAAAGTGAGGTTTAAAATCACCACAAATGGGTAGTGACTCAGTATCAGCAGCAGGACTGACCAAGAGACACTACAAGTTTCACTGAAGTCTCTGGGTTGCCACTTCGGAGAGCAGCTTCTTTCTCAGCATCACTTACACACTAAAATCTGGGGGTGGAAAACACGGTCGGCGGATAAGATGGGAGTCACAGAAATGGGTCTGTTTTGTGCCAATCCTCTGATATACATTCATGAGCCCTATGTGTTTGGACATATACTAAGCACCCTTTGAGCCAGTGACCTTCAAGCAGCTTGCAATCTAGCTGGGGACACAGAAGAGCAAACACAACAAATCTGGAAATAATCCTGCTATAGGACATACCAGAAATGCTGTTTAGCCAGAGAGAGATCTGCAAGGGCTGCAACCATAAAAAACTGAGCAGATTTCTTGGAATGGAAGGATATCCCTGGTTCTGGACCACCAGAAGGGAAGAGTAAGGATATCTAAGGACATCCTCGGGACAGAGGATCAGCATAAGGGAAGATTAAGAGAACTTTGTGAGCTTGTTTCTAGACCAGTGAAGAGGTCAGTCTGATAAAAGCTAAGGTGTCTACTGAGGAAATGTGGGGAGAGAGGATTGGTAGACGTAACAGCTGAGGAGAAGAGTTCAGTGGGAAATGGTAAGCTGCCTAAGGTTTAAGAGGAGAGAGTGACTGAAGAAATATGCCTACGGGAGATTAACGTTCCTCAGACTGCACTGACAAGGAGCTTAGAGATGGAAGCTATCAGTCACAACAGAACCTCAGTGTCTTGGGCAAAGTCAGGGACCAGCATCATCAGGAATGTATACTTGAGCTCTCTGTGCTGGGGCTCAATTAAAATTAACTTCACCTGTTTCTTTTAACATTTTTTAAATGGGGCAACTAGAAAATTTAAAATAATACATATACAGTTTATACTCTATTTCTATTGAACAGCATGGCTCTAAAATAGTCCATTCTTTATTCCATCTTTGTTTTTTGAAGGAAATTTTTCAGTAGACTTAGAATTAGAGGTTGACTTTTCTTTTCCTTCAGTATTTTGTCTTTTGGTCTCTATTTCTGATGAGGAGTTGGCTTTCTCTCCTTCTCTACTGATCTGTCTTCGAGTTCCTTGACTCTTTCTTCTATCATCTTTATTTCCCATTAAGTTCATTCTGTGAATTTTTCATCTTAGTTATTCCACTTTTCTATTCTAAAATTTTCATTAGATGCTTTTATAGTTTCTATTTCTCACCTGAGATGCCCTATATGTTCACTCATTATGACAATGTTTTCCTTTAGTTCTTTGAACATATTTGTAATAGCTGCATTAGAGGTTTTGTCTGCCATATCCAACATCTGGGCCATTTGGGGATTAGTTTCTATTGACTTTTTTTTTTTTTTTTGCACACCTACTAATTGTTGATGATATACGGAAGACATTCTGGATTTGATCTTCCTCTGCAGAGCTCATTTTTGCCAGAAGTCAAAATGCTTGCTTCCACTTTGTTGGATGGATTTGTGAAAAGCCAAAGATGTCTCTGAAGCTCCTCTAACAACTGCAGACCTCAACTTCCAAACTCAATCTCCATGGCAGATTTCAGCAACACTTTGCTCTAGGCCTTGTTAGGGTGGGTTTGAAGTAGGTCTTACTCTAGAACAGCAGCAGGCTAACTATAGCCATGACCCAAGGCTGGCCCTCTGCCTTTTTTTGTAAATAAAGTCATACTGAGACAAAACCATGTGCATTCATTTACGTACTGTCCATGGCTTCTTTTGCTCTACAACAGCAAATTTGAGTAGTTATAACAGATGCTGTATAGTTCACAGAACCTGAAACAATTACCATCTAACTCTTTAAAAGAGTTTTACCAACCCTGCTTGAAAGCTTGTTCCCTACCCCTAACACACAGACTTTCTGTGTCTTTTCTGGATGCTTAGAATGTTAATAATGTGTTAAGGAGATCTTCCCAGTGTGGCTGGGCTGGACTGCCAACGTCTCCCAATATTGCTTGACCTCTAGTATTTCGGTCCCATTCTCAACCTTGGAGCCACCACTTTTGGTAAATCTCATATGGTTTCAGTCTGTACACACTTTTGGTAAATCTCATATGGTTTCAGTCTGTACATTCAGGCCTACTCCAGCCAGGCCAAGGATTTCCTGGGTATACCCAGACACATTTCTTCTCCCCCTTCCCCCATGCTACTCTCTCTTCTCTAATGCCTTGTCCAGCAGATTCCAGCTGCTTCAACTGCCCCAGACTCTGATCTCTGTTTCATTAGCTCAGCAGGACTGCTGTGCTCAGTGTAGACTCCAGCATATGATGCTGCATCAGGAAACTCTCCCCTGGAAGAGAGCCAAGGTAATCATCAGGCTCACTTCATGAGCTTTCCTTCTCTCAGGATTGAAATACTGTGATTTCTGTTGACCAATACCTAAAAACAGTTGCCTCGTACATTTTATCCAGTAGTTTCATGGCTGTACACTGCACAAAGACTAGTTTGTTACCAGTTACAGCCAAAATTGGAAGTCTTCCCCTGAAATATTTCCTTCTGACTTGTAATCATTTTTAAAAAGAAAAAAAAGAGTCCAGTTCAGATCATCTAAATTAGGGTGATTTTATAGTGATGTCCTGGAAATGTTAATTAGAAGTTTAAGAAAACTTTCATAAATCATATGGAAAGGAAAGAAGGGTTTCATATAGCTATATGGATTAATTCCATCCCTTCAGAGCTGAGAAAATGTTTTGTTTTGTTAGGTTAACTATGCGTTATAATACTGTAACATAATTCTTGTTTGGTTAGTGAGCCACAAAGGTTATTTAAACCTGAGAATTTAGCCAGCTCCCTCTTCTATCTCTTTGCCATATGTATTCAACTAGACGGTTACTTTGGACATGTCTGCATCCACTTGTTGGGTTTTGAGGCTACTGGCAAACGCTATCCAGCCATCTGTTTGGGGTTTATGCAGAAACATCTCAAACTAGGTACTACTGCCAATTCCAAACCCTAAAGTGAGGCCTCAGCCTTTTTCTGATCAAAGACAAGCATCTCAAGATCAAAAAGCAAACTGGGAAGAAAGAATGAAAAACTAAGACCACATAGATCGTATGTATTTCTGCAAAGCTTTCTTCTAAAGCAAGACATTCAACCAACTTCCTGAACATCTACTATGTACTCAGAATTTGCAATGTATGATACAAAATAATATCCAGCATGGTTTTGTACTCTGAGACCTCTGTCACAGTGGGCTAAAGAAATCACAAAGATTTAATCATGAAGTTAAAGTAACCATGCCACTTGTTTCACAAGCCCGGAAGGCACAATTGCCCTATGACAAAGACCTTTATCAGATTCAAGACCTGGAACACTGCTTCTCTTCCTTCTTCTCAAGTCTTTTCCTTTAGGAGAGAACAGAGTTCATTTTAACAGAATCTGAACACTGGAGAAAACACACACACACACATATTTTAATTAACTGGTGCTTTGATGTTCCCAAAAGGAAAAGGTAAGTGGCTTTGGTTGTATGCTTCCACTATCTTTTTACCATTTTTTCTTTCACTTAAATATATTATTCTTTAAAAACTAAAAAAGAAAAAACTGATCACTCCTCTTCCACTGGAAGTTGGTGAATCAAATGAACACCCTAGCCTCAAGTCAACCATATATAAGAACTCCAAAAGAAATATATATCATATTTCAACCAACATCAGTATGTATCCATGATTCTCTGTGAACCAACTTCCCCCTATTTCTTTTAATCACATACACCATAATTCCCCATCCCTACATGTCTGTTTTTGTCCCCTCTAAGTCATTATTTGTGT